TCAGCCTGTCGGGAACAGCTGCCTGTGACGATGCATGAATTTGGGGCAGCGAGCCTTGCAGAATGAAGGGAGGACAGCATTGTTGGCCGTCCGCCCCAGTTGTGTTGTTTTGGTACCCACTGAGCCCACGCCCATCTTCGGTCGTCATGGCATTGTCTTGCCATCGCAATGAGGCGAGTAGCGGAAAAGAAACTGAAAATGTGGCAGATACTGCGCACGTCTTCCTCGCTACTAACTGATTGACGCGCAAGCTGTTGATGTTTTACCCATTCCGTTCCGCACTTGTGGTGCACGTTTTTGCTTGTGACAGCCGAACTGTCGTAGGTCGTCTGTTGGAGAAAGCGTCTCGACGGACTGCTTTTTAACAAGTCTATGCGATCAAGTTCAAGGACCTGTGCGGTGGCTCGTGAAACATGGAACGACTCTGCGCTGATACGCTGCAGTCAGTCAAGTCTGTAGGCCCAGCGCTCTAGGCGCATTTGTCGTGTGAAAGAGCATAATTGGAAAACACTGTTCTGGTGGTCGGCTGCAAGGTGGTCTCATCAGCGCTGAATTGTATCGTGTCACCACGTGCTTCGGTAACCGCATTTGGCAGCATGTCCTGGCTTTTCACTATCATAGAAGTCCTTACTCGTATGAGGGCCTCTCGATTTTTGACGGAATAAGCTTTTTCAGCTAATATTGTGTAATCCCAGTGCGATCGTATGAAAATTCTGAGGTTATCGGAGCAGGAAGTACTCGATAAATGTCACAACAGCAAACACTAAGCACTGCGCTAAAGTTCGCGTAGGTTATTGCGTTGGCTAGAATGTTTAGCGTTAGGACTAAGCGAAGTAAATAGAAATTGCAGAGCGAGTTAGAACACAGGAATAGCCACATGTACTACGGGGATACGTAGACTAATAGCTTTTCCTTGTTTTCCATGCGCCGCGCCCTTTCTGTGTCCCACTGATCGGGTGCCCTGGGAGTTCAATTTCGAGCCCCGCAAACCACCGCACGACGGCTAGTAGTATAGCTGAAAGATCAGAGGGACTGGACTGGCAATTTCTGGCTTTTAAGCCCTCACCATCCAGCCATGCGCAACCCCAGCTGTTGTGCTACTCGAAGCTCAGACCCGCGACCCGTTGGTTAGCAGCCCAACGCTCTAACCATTGATCCACGGGCTCGTGGCCTTGCCGCGGCAAACATCCTCGACATGGAGGACTGAAAAGGCGCTCTTTCGTGCTTACCCTCCTTTTGTTAATCAATGGTACCCAGG